AGAGAGAGAGAGGAGGAAGCAGGCTCCCCGCTGAGCAGAGAGCCTGATGCGGGGCTCAATCCCAGGACCCTGGGATCATGACCTGAGCTGAAGGCAGATGCTTTAACCCACTGAGCCACCCAGGCGCCCGGTGCTTTTAGCAACTTAAGGGAGTATGATGGTCTTGGGGGAAGGTAGCAGACAGTAGAGTCTCCAACCCCAGGGCTCTTCGGGTATGAGGACCACCCCATTTCCGACTGGGATCACGTCATTGCTCAGCTGTGCCCGTCCTCCACACCCTTCTTCGCAGGTGTTTGCAGGAGCAGGCCCTTGGATTTGGTGTTCATCATCGATAGTTCCCGCAGTGTGCGGCCCCTGGAGTTCACCAAGGTGAAGACCTTTGTCTCCCAGATAATTGACACTCTGGACATTGGGGCGGCGGATACACGGGTGGCAGTGGTGAACTATGCTAGCACCGTGAAGATTGAGTTCCATCTCCAGACCCACTCAGATAAACAGTCCTTGAAACAGGCTGTGGCCCAGATCACACCCCTGTCTACAGGCACCATGTCTGGCCTGGCTATCCAGACAGCGATGGATGAGGCCTTCACGGTGGAGGCAGGAGCTCGGGGGCCCACTTCCAACATCCCTAAGGTGGCCATCATCGTGACAGACGGGAGGCCCCAGGACCAGGTGAATGAGGTGGCGGCTCGGGCCCGGGCGTCTGGTATTGAGCTCTACGCCGTGGGCGTGGACCGGGCAGACATGGAGTCCCTCAAGATGATTGCCAGCGAGCCCCTAGATGAGCACGTTTTCTATGTGGAGACCTATGGGGTCATTGAGAAACTCTCCTCTAGATTCCAGGAAACCTTTTGCGGTAAGTCTTGCTCCCAACTAGAATATTCAGATATTGTGTCTCCAAAGAAAGAGATTTATTCTTTTTTTTTTTTTTTTTTTTTTTTGGTAGAAACTTTATGGAAAACTAAAATATAAGCAGTGCTTTTCTTCAGTTTTTTACCAGCTTAAACACACTTTGTTGGTTTAGGAATATAGAGTTGCTTTATATATAAGTTGGTTTGCTCATAAAAATCTTCGTGTTTGCATTAGAAGTGTGAAGGTCTAGAAATATCCAGGATAAATGATCCTGCTGTTCCCTGCTGGGGTCAGAAAAAAATAAAAATAAAAAACTCAAGACTCCTCTTTTCTCCCCTCTGCCCACAACTCCATTTTCCCCAGATATTTTCTTTAGCTTTACCATCTCCGGCTTTAACAGAACTCTGCTTGTTTTCCTGCCGAAGACGGGGAGCAGCATCTGTCTGCCCGTGGAAAGATCTGCGGGCTTTCCGGTGTAACTGTCAGTTAGGGTTTTGCTTATTCTCCGGATCCTCTAGTTTCAGATTCTGTTCTTCCTCCGATTATTCTTTGTGGAGGGACAGGATTAAGAACGGGGGTTGGGGGAAGGGTTGAGATTTCAGTTCACTTGGGAGATAGCAAGAAGCAGAATTTTAAAAAAAGGATTGTTACTGTCCTTCTTACTTTTTTCCTTTAGGATGCGGTTTGAATATGAGCATGCTAATTTTTTTTTAAGATTTTATTTATTTATTTGAGAGAGAATGAGTGAGAGAGAGCATGAGAGAGGAGAAGGTCAGAGGGAGAAGCATACTCCCCAAGGAGCTGGGAGCCCGATGCGGGACTCGATCCTGAAAGTCCAGGATCATGACCTGAGCCGAAGGCAGTCGCTCAACCAACTGAGCCACCCAGGCGCCCGAGCATGCTAATTTAATTGGAATTTTTAGCATGAATCAGTCAAATCCATGAATATGAATCCAGTTAGGGCGGGCTTTAATCTTAGCCACTGATCAGAATTATGAATGTGTGAGATGCATACTTTATTTTTAGGCTTGTTTTTTCTTTTTTAAAAAGATTTTATTTATTTATTTGAGAGAGAGAGCAAGCAAGCGAGCACAAGCAGTGGGGAGGGCAGAGGGAGAAGCAGACTCCCTGCTAGGCAGAGAGCCTGATGTAGAACTCGATCCTAGGACCCTGGGATCATGACCTGAGCTGAAGGCAGACACTTAACGGAGTGAGCCACCCAGGCACCCAAGTTTCTTTTTTACTTTGTATCCATCTATGTTTTGTCTTTGTATCTACCCATATTCATGCTTTATTATTACTATTATTTTTTATTTATCATTTAGAGATACAGTCTTTCAAAGCCTTCTGTGGAATTATCCAAATAGGTGTGGGCAAATTTCTAGTTCAGGTGAATTTTAAAATGTAGATACTGTTTGCTGTGTAAACCATGCCCCATCTCTTTACTCGATACGCATTAATTAATCTGATGCACTGATGATGCATGGATAAAATATTCCCTCCATATTATTAAGAGGTAGTCTGGGGATGGTGACGAGACATGAATTAGTAATTACAGTTGCAAATTTCAAGGAGGCTTTATATTGAAATTAATGTGGAACTCAGCAATCACCCCAGTTTGTCAGGAAGTGGGAGATGAAGTCTTGGTCTAGAGCAAAGTTTGGCCTCAACTCAGCCAGACCTGGCTGGTGGCCCCTTGTCTTTCCTATCCCAGGACACTGGGCTTTCACAAGCTGTCCTTGGCATTCATTGGTTTCTCAAAAGAACGTGGCTTTCTTTCTCCCAGGAAAACCCCCTGTGCTTGTGGGTGAGAGCTTTTCCATAAAGACGCTGGTCTGTGGCAGAGTTGGGTCTCAAAGCTAGCACCTGGGTTTGGGCTTGAAGGCCATAAAGTAGCAAGTGGTGAGTGGCAATCTTTTCCTTCTGGTACAAAAGACCTGCTTGTTCTGGGGGAAAAAATGTCCTCTCTGTGGAAAAGAGACTGAGGGGTAGCTTGTTGTAGTCAAAGGGTTGGAAAGATCATTCCATGGAAAGGCTCTTCTTGGGAAAATATTAACCTTGACCTGTTGCCAAAGCAGTCGAGGCTGGGTTACCTGCCCAGGGGTGCCAGCCTCCTCCAACAGGCCTCCTTGGTTTCTCAGAAATGACTAAATTCATTGATTCTTCTTTCAAAACATGTTACTAGGGAAAAAAATCCAACGAGATATAAACACCGCCAGGAGTGAAAAGGTGGGGCTGCAGCTTCGCTGACATAATCTCGTTTATTCTGTTCTTCCTTTTCTTTTTACCTGCTCGCATCGAGCGTGTGAGTCCACGCTCCTTGCAGATGCTAGAGGCCCTGAAGTTGCACACATGTACGTTTAGGCTCCCACACCCCTGCTGCTCATTCGGAAGCAGTTACCTGCCTTGCCCTCCACTGTCTACATGCTCAAGTACGTATTACCGCCCCACTAAGTTCCAGGCGGAGGGACATGCCTGTGTGTGAATTCGTTTTGACATACACTATAGAGCCCTTGGAAAGCAGATTCTGGCCCCAGCAGGACAACCAGCTCATAGACTTTCCAGAAGTGCACTGTAGTTCTCCCCGTTTCTTGCAGTTGGGAAGTAAATTCTTTTTCCTGGGCTAGGTGGAGACATTGAATAAAACATCAAGTTGTGTGACCACGTGAGTGTTTGCCTTCGGCTCCAAATTCAGAATTTCCTTTCTCTTTAAGAAAGCTGAAACAAAATCTGTAATTTTAAATTAGTAGCATCATTCGTGTAAGAGTGGTGTTTCCAAGAAGCCAGAGGCAGAAGACAAAGGGCCATTGAAAAGGAACCAGAGGGTGATGTCTTTTTGATAGGGAAGCAAGTATCTGGAACATTTCTTATGTGTTGATACTGACGATTGTCTACTTCTGGTGGGCAGCTCTGGACCCGTGTGTGCTTGGCACACACCAGTGCCAGCACGTGTGTGTCAGTGATGGGGAAGGCAAACACCACTGTGAGTGCAGCCAAGGATACTCCTTGAACGCCGATCAGAAGACATGTTCAGGTGAGGCCCACTTCGGGGAGCTTGCCTGACTGGGACTCAGCTAGATACCTGCCCTCCAGGTTTGGGTCTGGCATTATGATTTTCTCTTAACTGCCTTTTGGTTGGTTCACGGTTGCTTATCAATGTTTTTCCTCTAAAATTGTTGGAGAAAAGTGAGGTAACACATGAATCAGCATCTTTATAGTACTTATAATTAGTTTTCAAGAAAAGGGTTAGTAGGGAAATGGGTTAGTCAGGAAGGGGGCCAGAACTCTCAGTCTTTTTGAGGATTTTGGAACTATTCCCGGATTTTACTTAATTAAGTACAAGCTGCTCCTTTGTCTCTGAGGCCAGAGCTGCTCACTGAGTTTAGACTCAGAAGAAAGTTTAGAGATGTTCTCACTCATCTGGTATATGGCTACTCACATAAAATAAGTAAAGATGGGATCTAGGTCCATTTTTTTTTTAAATCCTCAAAAAAAGTCTTGAGAGGAAGGAAACTTAGAGATCATTTAATTCAACCTACTCATTTTATAGATGATGAACTTGAGACCCAGGGAAGGAAGACGACTTACCCATGTCATGGGGTCTGTTAGTGAAAGAGCCAGCACAGAAATCAGTTCCCAACCTCCTGTCCTGCAGCCTTTCTGTTGTGCTAGGCCACCTCTCATTTTAATAGCTGTGTGTGTGTGTGTGTGTGTGTGTGTACGTGTGGTGGTGACCCATAATTAATTTACCACGTTTTCCTGTGTTTCCATTTGTCCTGATGGTCTTTTGACAGCTATCGATAAGTGTGCTCTGAACACTCACGGTTGTGAACACATCTGTGTGAACGACAGAACTGGCTCTTACCACTGTGAGTGCTATGAAGGTTACACCCTGAACCAAGACAGGAAGACTTGTTCGGGTAAGTGGAGGAGGAGGCTTTCCTTTTGCTACCTCCCCGTCTGCATTCCCCCCCAGCCGGTGTTGCAGAGGTAAGGCACACTGACAGGGCACATGGTTGGTTTTTCTCTCTTGGGCCTTGTAACCAGCCCTGGCAGTGCTTTCCAAATGCTAAAGACAGTTTACTAAGTTAAAATCAAAGAACGCTCCATAAGATACTTATTAACTACAACAGGATAAACAGTTCCTTCGTGGTGGAGAGAGCTGGCAGACACCCCTTCAACCAGGTGATCAGAGGGAACCCCACCAGTCATGACCCGCGGTGACATCATGCCTCTCCTCACACGATGTCCTGAGGGCACAGTAGTGCTTCTGTTGTCTTCTTTAAATATTCAGCCTCAAGAGGAAACTTCAAACAAACCCAAACTGAGAGACATTCTACAAAGTAATTTTCCAGTGATTTTCAAAGCTGTCAAGGTCATGAAAGGCAAAGATAGAGGAAGTGTCCCAGAGAGGAGGGACTAAGGATATGTGACAGTGAAGTACAATGTGGACCCTGGATTGGGTCCTAGACCGGAAAAAGGGCATTAGTGGTAGAACAAATGGCAAAATTTTACTAAGATCTGTGGATTAGTTAATAGCATTGTGTTAGCGCTAATTTCCTGGTCTTGATAATTGTGCTATGGTTATATGGGATGTTGACGCTCGGGGAAACGGGGTGAAGTACAGAACTTTTTGTACTGTTTTTAGAACTCTTCCATATGCCTGCAGTGGTTTCAAAATGAAAAGTTTAAAGACAAAAAAAAAAAAAAAATTATCATGTCCATGTAGAGAAAAGTGCACTGAATGACAGTTTGGGTCCAGAGTTCTGATGCTGCTCTGAGTCAGCTGGTCTCCTCTGGATTCAGCTTCTTCACTTAGAACAGGGAGGACTGAATTACAGTTCCTTCCAACTCAAATTTGGCATCTTTCTGAATCTAGTGGAATTAGCCTCACAATTGTTGGTACCCCCCTGATTCAGCGTAAATTCAATAAACCTAAAAGGAATGCTTTAGTAATTATTTATGTATTTAGTATTTATGAGATACTTAGATCATAAAAACTCAGTCTGGATGATTTTGAAAAAGCAGTTGGGAAAAAGGAAGAATAAGGATTGTGTGGAGGATTTTGCTAAACACCGCTAACTTCTGGTATCAGCCCATAGTACAGATGGCTGTGGAAGGTTTCCAATAGGTTTGCCTCTTATATATTTCTAGCCACAGGTAAGAAGACTTCTATATATGGGTAATAAAAGACATCTCCACTTTTAATTGCTTTTCTCCTGGAATTTTCTTTGGTAGCTCAAGACCAATGTGCTTTTGGTACACATGGCTGCCAGCACATTTGTGTAAATGACAGAGATGGGTCCCATCACTGTGAATGCTACGAGGGTTATACTCTGAATGCTGACAACAAAACGTGTTCAGGTAAGGTCCACTCAACAAATTCTTTCCTAGCTTGCTCTATCTATGGCGGTGAAACCAACTAGCAATTGATACAGCAAGAGACTCTTAAAGATACTTAATGAATCAGACTCTACACCTTCTATCCTGCTTATAAACTAAGGCACGCATTGCTCAGACGGCAGTGAGCTCACTTGATTTTGCAAATATATCTCATTTCAGAAATGGGTAGGGAGTGAGGGATATGAGAAAAGCTAACTGAATGTAGGATCCTTATCCAGGAAAATGTTATAGCTCTGTACGCTGGGGACTTGTGAAGCAAATGGGAGCTTTAGAGGAAGTCAGTTGAAAACAGTAACTACTTGGTGTGATAGGCTGAACTGATCTTTTTCCAATTAAAACTTGCCCTGGAACTTTTCTGTAGCGTTAATCTTAAAGCTGGATTGTTTTAGTAAAGGAGACTTTGTCAATGACTGAATTAGACCCACACAGATCTTCCAGTAAATGTGAAGTCAGTTGTTCCCTGACGATTTCTAAATGATCAGTCTTCTGTGAATCTGAGCCTTATGTCTTGGCGAATCCTCATTAATTTGATTTAAACTCACTGGCAGAGCAGGGTGACATTTATAATGTAAAAACACTTCTGAGAGAAATTCCTGCCTCTCAAGGCTGTGTTTAATTTTAGCCATTTTATTAGATTTTTATGTATATGCTCCTGTCCCTTGAGGAGAGGTATTATGTGACCTTTTCAAGAGAGACTAAGGGAAATGGCACATGACCAATGCCCTTAAAAAAAAAAAAAATAAAGAGGACTGAGCACCTATTTTGTTCCCAGGACTGTGCAAAGCCCTGTGGGGATGTAAAGAAGCACATTTTCTGCCCCGGGGCAATTTACAGGCTGGGTGCAAAGAGAACCAACACCTTGGGGAAGCAGAGACTAGGCAGGGAGAGGGATGGACAGTAACGTAGGGCTGTGGAAGCTGGGGAGGCAGGCTGTCTGGGGAAGGGTGCAGACCATGTGGGCAGCAGGTGGGCCTCGAGGGTGGTGGAGGTTTAGACAGAGGACCACAGAGCTGGATGGCCAAGGGGAATGGCTTGTGTTGGTTTGCTCCGGGGGTAGGACCAAGTCAGTTGGGGTGGAGAGGCCTCATGGCTGCGCTTCTCAAATTGGTTACAGGTACCCCACTTGGTAGCTTAAGCAGCCAGGGTCATCGAAGACTTTGAAAAAGAACACTAAAATTTATATTTAAACTAACAGATATTGGAGCACCTGGGTGGCTCAGTCATTGGGGGTCTGCCTTCGGCTCAGGTCATGATCCCAGGATCCTGGGATTGAGCCCCGCATTGGGCTCCCTGCTCAGCAGGAAAGCCTGCCTCTCCCTCTCCCACTGCCCCTGCTTGTGTTCCCTCTCTACCCCTGTGTCTCTCTCTGTCAAATACATAAATAAAATCTTAAAAAAAATAAACTAACAAATATTATGGAATAAATGGAATGTTTTATTAAAAAAAGAAGTCCAAGAAAATGTTCAGTTACGGCAGATTATTCCAGGCCATGCTCCGAGGTCACAGTAGCCAACTTCTTCAGTGCCTACTGGATGGCATACATGGTTGTAGGCAGCTCAGACACAGTCACACCTTTATTATTGCTCACAGCACCTATATGAGGAAGCTGAGGCCCAGACAGGTTAAGCAACTTGCCCATGGTCACGCAGCTAGTGAGTCACAGAGCGAGGATTGGAACCCAGGCACTTGCTCTGGTGGTTACGCATGTGATCGCATGCCAAGCTATCACATTTCATGGTTGTTGTATGTGGTTGTACAGCACAGGGCAAGACTAGATGGCGGAAAGTTAGAGGGTTAGGAAGGAATATATCTATGGAGCCCAGTGCAGAGCAGTGTTTATAGACTTTAAAGTAATAAGGGCTACTGTTCTGAAGCTGGGGTACATAACATGGGTCATATCCCCACAAGGGGCCTGCTTTTCCCCCTGCTGGGCAGTAGTACCACAAGGCTTGTAGATTAAATATGGAGCCCTAGAGCAGGGCCGGGGGTTGAGGCATGACCGTTGTTATCTATAGGGCAGCTTTAGGCTGGGATGAATGGAAAAGTGAAACAGTCTACTGTTCTGCCTTTTTTTTTTTTTTTTTTTTTTAATTTTAGAGAGAGAGTGAGCAAGCATGCACCTGTGCAGGGACAGGGGCAGAGGGGGAGGGAGAGGAAGAGAGGGAGAATCTCAAGCAGACTCCATGCTGAGCGCAGAGGCCCCTGCAGGGCTGGATCCCATCACCCTGAGAGCATGACCTGAGCCAAAACCAACAGTTAGACGCTCAACCCAATGAGCCACCCAGGCACCCCCGACTATCCAGCATTGTGCTGGAAAAGTCTGAAGTAATGAAGGGGACTATCAGTGTTAGAGTTAGAAAGATACTCTATGGATACACTATGGAGAGACTTGTCTTTCACTCAAAGCTCTTTCATAGGCAATAGTGGAAGTTTCCCGTGTAAGTTTCCCAAGTGTGGAGGGACAAGCAAACAAGCAAACAAACTTGGTTGGTTCCTGCAATGGCAGAGGAAGAACTTGTGTCCCCCGGGAAGAATTTCTGGGTTTATTAAAGGAGACCTGCTGTTTTCACTTATCCTGGGCCGGTCTAGATGTGGAATGAGCTGAGCATGGCACTTTTTTTTTTTTTTTTTTTAGATTTTATTTATTTATATGATAGAGATCACAAGTACGCAGAGAGGCAGGCAGAGAGAGAGAGAGAGGAGGAAGCAGGCTCCCCGTTGAGCAGAGAGCCCGATGCAGGGCTCGATCCCAGGATCCTGGGATCATGACCTGAGCCGAAGGCAGAGGCTTTAACCAACTGAGACACCCAGGCGCCCCCGAGCATAGCACTTTGCTCTCCACTCAGATTTGGGCCAGCCGTCTTCCTCCTTGTGATAGATTTCTGGGACAGATAATAAGTGCTCCACTCTCCAAACCGACACCTCCCCTCACCGTCATCACTATTGTCACTACCTCTGTGTGCATGGGTGTGCCGGCTGGTGTCTTCTGTCCTGCTTTGCACCCTTTCCAGGGCAGCCCTTTGTCCGCACAACACGCACTTTATGTGCAGCGTCTGAGTTAGCTCCCTGTGCCAGTGGGTCCCTAATACATTGTTTCTGGTGATGGTGAAGATGGTCCCTGTGTGGCTGGAGATGTGGGAGGCACTTGGAGGCATCCAGAGAGGCCAAAGGTAAGTTCCAGAATGTAATGAGGACTCGGTCCAGCCCCAGCACTGCAGGCAGGAAGAAGAGAGGAGGCACTGCCATGTATCTGCGAGAAATGAAAAGGCAAGCGGGGAGGCAAAGGTGGGACCGGAGGGATGTGAGATGTAGGAAGGGACAACGGGCGTTCTCCTGGAAGGTGGGCGCAGTGTCGCTGGGCGCGGTGTCGCTGGCCGCGGTCGGGTTCATTCTCAGCACCTGTTGTGACTGCGCCGCAGCTTTTCTCTCCCGGAAATCTGTGTCTCCTTCCGCGCTGTGACCTGGGACTATTTTCTTTCCTGCCCCGCGCGGGCGTAGTTCGCAGCAAGTGTGCTGGAGGCTCGCACGGCTGCCAGCACCTGTGTGTGGACGACGGGCCCGCGGCCTATCACTGCGATTGTTTCCCTGGCTACACCCTGAACGAAGACCAGAGGACGTGCGCAGGTACGGACTGTCCCTGCCACCTGTTTGGTTTGCAAGGCTCGTCTTCTAGGAGGCAGCTTTCCTCTCTAAGGCCTAAGCGCCATCCCAAGGGGTCCGAGGCCCCAGGAGGCTCGCAGCTGTCTTCCCAATGAAGCAGGTGTCCCCGCCAGCCATTCTTCCCCCTAGGATTCCTTCCTCTTCGTTTTCCTTTCTGATAACAGTCTCTTCCTAAGTGGGATTGTTGTTGTTGTAGTGATGGTAAGATACACCTGACGTCCAATTTCCCGCTTTAACCGTTTCGAAGCGTCTAGTTCAGTCCCACTCCCCATCCGCAGAGCTTTATCATCTCAGACTGGAGCTCTGCCCCCATCCCCTTCTTTCCCCGCCCTGGTCCCCTCTGCTTTTCACCCTGTCGCTCCCTTTGCCCCGGGGCTCCCCGCTTCCAGGTCCTGGGCTCCACCCTGTGCACACCTGGCTATGCTAGGAACGCGCCCTGCCTGTGTACACCCTTCGCTGGGACCCCCTTCCCTCACCACTACCGCTTGCCAAAATCCAAAATCCAAGAACCACATCCTTGCCAATATTTGGTTTTGCCTCCTAGAGGAGGCAAAAAAGTGTCTCCCTATGGTCTTTATTTTTTCATTTCCTGCCTACTTCCTGTATTTATTAGTCATTGGAGTTTTTTTTTATTGGGAAATGCTACGTATGCCCTTACTTTTCTCTTGGGTTCTTTGTATTTTTCTTACTGATACAATGGAACCCTGTGCGTTTCTGGATATAAATTCTTTGTTGTTTTATGTGTGGCAAATATCTTTTAGTGTTTTTATTTTTACTTAAATGATGTCTCTGCAACAGTATTCATGATATTTTAGTTCTTGTGTGGTAGCTTTATGAGTGTTTATTTTTATTATGCTTCATCACTTGTCTAAGTGTTCTCTAAATTGCTTTGTTTGAATCAAATACTACACAGTTGTGTTGGTATGTTTGTTTCTATAACTAAAGAACATGAATTAATTGAATTAATTAAATTGAATGAATGAATGAATGAATTCAATTAATGAACATAATTAATTGAAGAGGTCTAGTTCAATTTTACCCCCTCTACCAGAGCTTCCCTTTTCCTTCCAATGAGCTTGGTCCTCTTTCAGCCCAGGACACCTTGTGCTGGGGTGACTTGTTCCTTCAATTGTTCCATCAACCCTTCAGTCAGCAGAGTGCCTACTATTTTCTGGGCCCTGGGTGTATAATTGTGAACAGAACACGTATGGTCTTTGGTAACAGTCTAAGGGGAAAAGACAAGGAAATAGCTATTTATAAAGAAGAGCTGTGAGAAAAGAACAGGGTCCTGAGCCCATGAGGGTTGGGGGACCTCCTTCAGGTTGGGAGGGGCTCTCTGAGGAAGTAACATCTGAGACCCGAGGACCAGTGGTATTTAGGTTGGAATTGGGGAGCTGGAGGAAGAAGGGAGAGCAATGCCAAGGACTGCCTGGTGACTTTAGGGGGAGAGGAGGGAATGGGAGAGGAGAGGAGGGGGAGGTGGGGAGAGGGAGGGACTCGCCTGGTTGCCAGCACCTGTGGCAACCACCACCAGCCAGGGAAGTGTGGTGTCACTTTGAAGAGGTAGGCAGGGGCTGAGTCATGCTGATCTTCTGGGGCAAGAGGAAGGAGTTTATATTTTGTTTTATAGAAGATGGGAAGTCACTGGAGAGTTTTGAGGAATGGGGCGGCATGATTCTGTTTACATTTTCGCAAGTTCCCCTGGCTGCTGTGTGGGTCTGAGGGGCTGACGAGCTGGGCCGGGCAGTCGGAGACTGTTGCAGTGGTCCCAGGTTGGGTGAGGAGGGGGACAGTGGTGACGAAAGCAAGCTGATTCCAGACACTTTTCTGAGGCAGAATGAAAAGGATTTGGTGATAAACCAGATGTGGGGAACAGGCCGGGAGACGAATGAGGATGGCTTTCCTATTTCAGACTTGGTCAGAGTTTGAGACTTGTGTGTTTATGCTCCTGGAGACAGTAACTTCCAACCCCTGGGGGTGGTCGATGTTGTCTATATTTCTGGCATCTTCCATTGCACCTGACAGTTACTAGTAGATATTTCTTCACTTGAAGTGAAGTATGGAACCTTTTCTTGGGGAGGGTGAGGATAGTAGGGAAGAGCTTGCTTTTAGGACTTGAATGTATCAGGGTACTAATATCTAGGCTACCCTATCTAGGGGTTTAATCCTCAGAGAACTCAGTCTTGGGGCATTTTTCTTCTCTTGGAAGATGGGGATTCCAGCCGCATTTATGTTGGGTTACGTCCTGACCACATTTGCCTAGCCATTCACTTCTTTGCTGAGCAAGCATTCACGGAGCTGTTCTTCTAGATCTAGTACTCTTTCAGGTCTTGAGGGAGGAACTGGGGACATACAAATGTTTTGTACTTTGTAGTGTACCAGTCTTGCACATCATTTGTTAATTTTAATCCTAAATTTTTATTTTTTGATGCTATTGTGAATGGGTTCATCTCCCAACTTTCAATTGTGCTACATCCCAATTTAAAAATTTTCTGTGAGTGTTTTAATTAGACTACCCCGCCGAGCCATTGTCCTCACAGAACTTACAGTTTATCAGGCAAGAAGCACTGGAAAAGCATCATGAGTGCCAATTATATGCTCTGTACAGGGATGATGGGGATGTACTTAATTTCAGTAGATACTTTCTGGCTTACCGACTGACTGACTGATTTGGGCTGGCTGTCCCTAAAAGCCAACAGGATTTGGACAAGTAGATAGATTTTATTTGATCAAATGAATTTATGGTTATCTTCATTCTATATCCTATCTTTGTAGAATGTGGGAGAAAACACAGGAGCAAAAGACCATTCTCTGTCCTCAGATGACAATGAAAGATTACACATGGGAAATTACTCTTATTAATTCCCTTAGGTCTGCATTCTTGGCTCCCCCCTACGTCAACTTTTTAAAAATTTACTTTGTATCATAGAAAGTTTCCAAAACTCACAAAAGTAGAGAGAATATAATGAACTCTCATATAGTCAATACCCAGGATTGATGATTGTAAACATTTCCCAATATCTAATTCAGTTTCTTCTGTGACATTAGTATTTCAAAGTATTTCCTCCTCTTTCTGTGTACTCTTGTATTCCCTTACCTCCTTGAAAATGCATTTAGTTAAGTCTTAAAAATGGAAGGACTGAATTACAGATTTCCTGATTTCTACGGTTTCTGATGAGCTGTAACATTTTGTGTACTGTCGCCATCAGCCATTGAAGAAGCACGAAGACTCGTCTCTACAGAAGATGCTTGTGGGTGTGAAGCCACCCTGGCCTTCCAGGAGAGGGTCAGCTCCTATCTGCAGAGACTGAATGCCAAACATATCCTTTCTGGAAAGGTTTCTGCTTTAAGCCACCCTAGGTAGTACAACTGAGCCAAACATTTTAGGACATTCCGGAGGATAAGGACCCTATTCACTACGCTTTAAGATGCGCAAAAGCAATACAGTGTTTATTTTTTTAGAGTTCTTTTAAAATGTTTTAATAGCCTGTTTGGCCCATTTAACATTTACATGCTAAAAGCTGCCTATTTCTTTCTTTAGTGCTTTTCCATAGCAGCTTCTGCTGTGTTATTAACAGATGGAGCTTTTATGCTATGATTCCTTCACATGGGCTTTCTTAGTTCAGAATCTGTAGGTGTACAGGAGGTAGCTGATTAGTGAGGAGATGGCTCAGACGACACATACTTTACATAGGCTAGCCAGCTGGTCAAAAGCAGATTTCAAAATGTAGCACAGTACCATCTAAGAAACTTTCAAAATCAGTTTTTTTTTTTTAAAAGATTATTTATTTATTTATTTGACAGAGAGAGCACAAGTAGACAGAGAGGCAGGGAGAGGGAGAGGCAGACTCCCCATTGAGCCTGGAGCCCGATGTGGGACTTGATCCCAGGACCCTGGAATCATGACCTGAGCTGGAGGCAGCTGCTTAACCGACTGAGCCACCCAGGCACTCTCAAAATCAGTTCTTTAACTAAAGGAGTAATTCAGGAAGAGTACTTTTTCTTAGCTCAAGTTAACAAAATCCTTAAATTGGCCTAACAAAAATGCTCCAGGGGGTCAGCCAACATTCTCTGTTCCCATCTCTCACTTTGCATTGTCATTCTTCTAACTTTACAAAAGGAAGGCACGCTTTATCCAACCTGAGTCTGGTAGGGTGAATTTCTTGGAAGGGTAAAATCTCCAGAAAGCCAAACAAAGGGATAGTTCAACTGTTTTTTCATCAAGGTTTCATGAACTCCCCCAATTTCTTTCACTAAAAGACATTTTTCCAGTGAAATTTTGCCTTTTATTTTTAGTAATTTTATGTCAACATTTATAATTTATTTGTTTGATCAATTATGTGCTCATAATAGTTGTAATGATAATTCAACCCAGATGATTAAAAGAACTGGGGGCCTTATGGTCAAAGAATATTAATTTAAAGGTAGTTTCAATATAAATGTATATGTGCTTGTTTGTATAAATTTACCTCAGAGAAGTCTCAGGGATCAAGAAAAGATTTTCAAGATTCAAAGTAGAATAAAATTCTGTGGAGAAAGTGGAAAGGAAATACAAATTCCTTTATTTTAAATATTTGATTTTTAAAGATGGATAGTAGGTGTCCATTTGTATGGTATTTACATATAGGATACATATGAAAGACTAATTTAGATTTATTTTTTATTTTTTTTTTTTTTAGTTTTATTCATTTGACAGAGAGAGAGAGATCACAAGTAGGCAGAGAGGCAGGCAGAGAGAGAGAGAGAGGGGAGGAAGCAGGCTCCCTGCGGAGCAGAGAGCCCGATGCGGGGCTCGATCCCAGTACCCTGGGATCATGACCTGAGCCGAAGGCAGAGGCCTTAACCCACTGAGCCACCCAGGTGCCCCTAGATTTTATTTTTTAGTTAAATAAAAAAAAGATTTATTTATTTCAGAGCGAGAAAGAGGGAGGGGGAGGGATAGCATGAGTGGTGGGGAGGGGAAGAGGAAAAGGGAGAGGGGAAGCAGCCTCCCTGCTGAGTGCAGAGCCCAACACAGGGCTTGATCTCAGGACCCATGAGATCATGACCCCAGCGGAAACAGAGTCAGATGCTTAACCAACTGAGCCACCCAGGTGTCCCTAGATTTTATCTTAAAAAACCCTCAATACTTATGATATGGCAGAAACTGCATATTTTGTAACAAAATCTTACGATGAAAAATTTCAAATAATTTAAATATGCACAGATATCTCTTATTTGTCAAAATTATTTTAGGGGATAAGAGCAAAAATGTTTGAAGACAGATGCTCTGTATCATCATCTCTGAAGACCACTGCTTTATAACATGCTCTCTAAAGAATAGAATTCCTGAGTTTTAGATTAAGGTTTTGATGAGAAAATAATTTCACTTTTTCTTTATTTACTATAGAATGTAATTATTTTCTTTTATCTTGTATTGAAGTGTTTGAAAGTGGTTTATGTTTTCTGATGTCTAAAAATAAAAGGCGTTGGCCTTAACAACTAGCCACTCGATGATATTTTGGGCAAGTTGCAAGCAGATGCATATGGACAAATACATCGTTGAATTACTCAGATTTTTCACCTGGAAATACGGAGAGCTTGGTCTATTTAATATTTTTGCATACTTCAATGTTCCTGCTAATAATTTGCCATTGCAAATGCTTTAATATTACTGGATAAGTAGTATGAGGATCTTCTGGAGAATCAGGAGATAAACGTTCACATCCTTAAGAGCAAACTTTAGTGTCTCTAAGCTATGACTGTGAAATGATTCGTAGGGAATAGAATGAAAAGTTTGGTATTTCTTTATTTACCAATTGAGCCATTTAATTTTTAAATGTTTATATTAGTAAGATAACCATTCTTACAATGGGAACTTTTGATCTATTTTCTCTTGATAGTATTTATAGTATAAACCAGTTTTATTATTGAGAGTGTAAATTATACAAGTATTTACACATAAAAAAGTTCATATAATTGAGGTAAATATAATTTAGAACTGTTTCTTTAATGCTTTGTTTTTTGCTCACTTTTTGCTGGAATATCACTGAAGCTGTGATCAGTGGATTATAATACACATATCAAGATCACGTGAACACTACATGAAATATTGTAAGAAACACATAACTAAAGACTTTAGTTTTGAATTAAGTGTTATAACTTCTTACCAAGGACAAAAAAAAATCCTACATTATCTTTACTGTTTCACTTTAGGATCCAATCAAGAAAATTATATATTTATAAATATTGATCTAACAAGTAACAACAAACCCAATGTCGCCATTTTAAAGTTTAAGCTTAATTTTTCTTCACTTACATATTTAGTATATGTATTTTATTTTTCCGCTTGAAAGCTTATAGCTCTTAGGAGAAAATCGTCCTTTAAATTGTGACTACTCATTTTTTCTGTTTGTATTGTCTTTAGTATAATAAAAAGTTACTATCTTTATATATTATTGTCATGACTTTTTTTGGTGACCCATATCAATTTCATCTATTAACGTATTTCCTTAAACTGAATTAACAAGTATTGAATATATGATGATTTCTGGTCAAAGGACTCAATGTTGTAACTCTTACTATAATTTAATTTCATACTTTTAAGGTTAAAAATGTAAGTTCAGGTTAAATAGGCTTTTATCAAGAATGTTATGGGAGGGGGAATAAAACAAAATTATCTAAATTTGGATAAAATAATGAAGTATAAAAATGTAAGCACTTGAAATGTAAATATAACTTACAGATGTAAACCTAAAATCAGTCAAAAATCTAGAGAAACTTCAAAGGGAAGAAACAAAAAATAAATATATCAAGGCAGTGTATCATTTTTGAAAGGTGACTCAAAGCAGTATTATTTTCCAAACTTCAACACAGGATCAGAATGTTGTTACAGAAGGAATAAATGACAGCTCATGTGCAAGCACTAGGGGAAGGTACTTAAAGAGGTGATTTTTCAAGAGTGTGACCATCTCTAGTTTCATCTCTTATACTTCACCGATTGATTGGAATCCATGGCTTAGATAATTCTGATCTGTTTCATGAGCCCAGTATAGGGAGCTCATTGTGCAGCCATGCCAACATATCTTCAGAATCTACAGTCTGACCTTGAAAAAAGATACACATTTAAAAACAAATAAATTATCTGAATGGGATGGCCGTTAAGTTTGGAAGTAATTTCTCAGGCAGACCTGATTTGTACATTTGGCTAGGCACAATTGGCAGAGAGGGTAGGAACATTACAGGACATATAAAATGGCCTCTGACGCACAAAGCATATTGGCTTGCTTAGATGGGGGCATCATAGTGAAGACATTTCCCTTTCAAAGGAAAATCTAATTTTAGCTGAGGTTTAGATTTGATGGGAAAGGCATTGGGACCATTGTCAATTCTTGAGTGTGCTGGGTGAGGCAACAGACCACTTCAAAGATCTGAACATTATTTGCCTGAAATGGGGAAAGACTAAGTGGGGGAATTAGCAGCTGCTGCTGCATAAAGTACGAGATAGCTTATGCAATTCAACAGCAGGAGCCGCAGAATATGGTAAAAGGGAAAATCAGATATAAATTAAAAGATAAGTGAGACTAAAATAATTTTCACGGGAGTTTCTGCCCTGTGCCCAAACTGCGGTGCTTTGTAACTATCCAACCATTCAAAAAGGACAAGGGAGAACTGAAGAATTAAGGTAGGAAAAGAAGAAAATAGAAAACAGTCGACCTCAGGCGAGAAAATACCAAACACCAAACTTAATGATTCAAAAGTGGAAGGCTATGCCCCAATGGCAATTATATGCCGCAAAGGCCCAAAGCTCATGAACCACTGGGCTGCAGTAACAGCTTAAATAAGCTGTTTAAAAAGTTCTAAAACAAACAATGAACACAATCTGGCAAGAGGGTTCCCCAATCCCCGAAGGCGTAGGGGAAGGATTGCGCCTTCATTTGGCAGAAAGCGCCAGTCCACCAAATACTGTAAATGCCTTTCCTTTTCATAATGCTGGTACTTTGGGGCTTACAAAACACCCAATCATCTTGACCTCATCTGAATGAGCGCCTTTGATCCTGAGTTGATACTGACACCTCAGGCAAGTTCCACGGCAACCGTCGGAGGTATGACCTGTCCTCCGAGCCTATCGAAAGGAGGACAGCTGAGGCGACGAGGCAGGGCGCTGAGGTCACCCACCTGACCGCAAGCGCAGGGCAAAAAGGCCCAGAAACCGAGCGATAAAGCACGACCGCGAGCTCGGCCCGGCGTCTGCAGTCCCTCCAAGACCCCCGACGTCCGCGCAGGCGCACGACGCCCGGCGGGGAGAGTACGGAGCCGGAAGTGTCCCTCCGCGCCCCGGATGCGACCCGGCCGCTGTGGTTGCCAGGGTGACGGGCGCTCCCAAGAGCTGCTGGTACTCGCAACAGGAGAATTAGAACAGACTTCCTTGGGCGGGCCTGGACGGCTGGGCTCGTCCTCTCGGAGTTCCCAGAATGTTCTTTTACCTGAGCAAGAAAGTGAGTTTTCCCGCGGGCGTCCTCACCTCCCCTTCGTCCTCGCGTCCAGCGGGCGATTCCCGCATCCCGCCGGCGGAATCCGGCGTCCTGATCCCGCGTAGCCTCCGCGCTTCCCACCTTACTGCCTCGTCCTGCCTTGGACCGTGCCGAACCGCAGATAGTTCTCGGCGGAGCCAGCAGCCCTCTCGCACAGCTCTCCTATTCCTGCCCCGGGTTCGGTCTTTTTTGGGAAGCTAGCAAGGCAGATCGCTGCGTGCTTCTCCACCCTTTCCCTCTACCTATTGTTGATCCAGGTGCCTTAAATTCTTTGGTTGGTCATGGGCTGCCGGACAAGAGAAAAGTCATAACAAAAGGGTAGCCCAAGGGTTGTATGTGGAAAGGGAATAGGGACTGATGGTCTGGATTTATACCTCCGTTTCCCTCTTCCTCCCTATAAAACATCAGGTGACTCCCCACTGGGTTCCTGCGGAGTCAGTGTCCTCTTGGGTGCAGTTTTTTCTCTCTTCCGCAAATGGTAGGGCAGCTCAGGGGATCGTGCCATGCCCATTTTCATCACAGCTCACACTCTGCAAGAAGGACCGTTTTTCTTCTTGGGGGGGATTTTCTTAAGCCTTCGTGTGCAAGTCACTAGCCAAGTCCTCCGTGAAAAGCTGTGAAAGTGGTTGTGGTTGCTTTTCAGATTGCCATTCCCAATAACGTGAAGCTGAAATGTGTATCTTGGAACAAGGACCAAGGTTTCATAGCATGTGGTGGTGAAGATGGATTACTGAAAGTTTTGAAGTTAGAGACACAGACAGGTAAATGAGCGCAAGCCCAAATGTTTGAACTTGGTGGAAAATTGGCAAGTATGATTTGTTCAGTGAGATTTGCTCATGGTATTTGTCAGTATGCAGTTCTAATTCTTTTAAAACAAACAAACAAACAACGCCCCCCGCCCCCGCCAAACTCCCAAATACTTAGTGGTGTTTTTTGTAGAGTATTTTTGCAGTAAAGTTCAGAGAATATTTGCTGAAGTTCTTGATGGAAAAAGAAAAACAATGAAGAATGAGAGCTAAGTCACTATATTGCCTTGTTCTTGTCTGCTTATTGTGCTCTGTTATTTGGTCTAATAAAAATGATGTGAATCCACATTTCAGTAAGGTCACAAAATCTCACACTTTGTCAGATTATTTGCAGGCTAAATCATCCTCTCTGCTTCTCCTTTCTGCTTCTCAGAAAGAAGCAGAATCATCCTTTCTGCTTCTCAGATGTGTTAATAATTTCTCACCTAGTTTCCAAGAAGAGAAAACGAGACTTTTTTTTTTTTTTAAGATTTTATTTATTTATTTGACAGAGAGAGGTCACAAGCAGGCAGAGAGGCAGGTAGAGAGAGAGGAGGAAGCAGGCTCCCTGCTGAGCAGAGAGCCTGATGCGGGGCTCGATCCCAGGACCCTGAGATCATGACCTGAGCCAAAGGCAGCGGCTTAACCCACTGGGTGGCTCAGTGGGTTAAGCCGCTG